AACAGTTATGTGTAAAGAAATGGTATATAGCCCAGCCAGCATGGCTCAGAGGTTGAGCATCGACCTAGGATCCAGGAAATCACAGTTCAATTCCCTGTCAGGGCACATGCCCAGGTTGCGGGCTCGATTCCCAGCAGGTGGCCTGCAGGAGGCAGCCGAGCAAGGATTCTCTCTCATCACTGATGTTTCTATCTCTCTCCTACGCCCTTCCTCTCTCTGAAATCAGTAAAAACATATTTTTTAAAAAAGAAATGGTATATAGCTGATACTCATTAAACAGTAGCTATTTCAGGTATAGTAGATAGCTGCTTCTGGGATGTAATTTAAAGAGTGGAGGGGCCCGGCAGGGTAGCTCAGTTAGTTTAAGTGTTATCCCCATATGCCAAGGTTGTGGGTTCAACCCCAGTCAGGGCACATACAAGAAGCAATCAGTGTATGCATAAATAAGTGGGACAACAAATCAGTGTTTCTCTCTCTCTCACTCTCTCTCTCTAAAAGTCAATTTAAAAATACATATATACATATATATACATAATTTGCCATCTTAACTATTTTTATACAGTTCAGAGGTATTAAATACATTCATAATGGTCAACCATCACCACCACTCATCTCTATAACTCTTTTCATCTTGTAAAATTGAAATTCTATATCAAACAATAATTCTGCCCGGCCGGGTGTGGCTCAGCGGTTGAGCGTCAACCTAGGATCCAGGCGATCGGGGTTTGATTCCTGGTCGGGGCACATGCCCGGGTTGTGGGCTCGATCAATGACTCTCTCATCATTGATGTTTCTATCTCTCTCTCCCTCTCCCTTCCTCTCTCTGAAATCAATAAAGATATATTTTAAAAAGCAAAACAAAACAATAATTCTCCATTCCTCCCTCCCCCCAGCCCCTTATAACCACCATCCCACCATCATACTTTCTGTTTCTACGATTTTGACTGCTCTAAGTATCTCGTAGAAGTGGAATCACAGTAGTTGTCTTTTTGCAGCTGGCTTACTTCATCTAGCATAATGTTCTCAAGGTTCATAGGGACACACATTGTAGCATGTCAAAATTTCCTCCCTTTTTAAGGCTGAAGACTATCCCGTTGTATGCATAGGTCACATTCCGCTTATCCATTATTCATTGCTGGGCAGTGGGTTGCTTCCACGTCTGAGCTATTGCGAATAATGCTGCTATGAACATGGGTGCACATACATCTCTTAGAGAGGCCCCATTTTCAGTACTTTTGGTTACATACCCAGAAGTGGAATTGTTGGATCATATGGTAATTCTATTTTTTAATTTTTTGAGAAACTGCCATACTGTTTTCCGCAGTGGCTGCACCATTTTACATTCTCACCAACAGTGCAGAAGGGTTTCAATTTCTCTCTGCTTGTTGCTTTCATTTTTTTTTTTTTATAGTAGCCACCCTAATGGGTGTGAGAGTCTTTGTTTTATTTTGATTACTACTTTGAAATTCTATTGTTTAAGATTTATTCATTTGGAGTTAACAAGCACTCTTTTAAGAGGCAAATATATTTAAGAGCTCTTACGTAACCAGGTCAGTTTGATTCTCATGTGACTTCCAGGTAGTAATGGACTGTAATTAAAACCTATACTTCTCCAATCTTACACCCATAGCCCTGATATTGATTAGCTTTCTCAAGTGAAGGGATCACTGCTTGGAAAGGGACTTATATTATTTGTCAGCATTTCTGGTATGATAAGAATTGGCCCCATTATCAAGTGTTGGAAATTGTTGTTGAAAAAATAAGCTCGAGATAGAGCACCACCTGTTTGTGAAACCTATATTACATTCAAACTATTTTTTATTTTATTTTTTGTTAATCCTCACATGAGGATATTTTCCATTGCTTTTTCAGAGAGAATGGAAGGGAGGAAGGGGAGGGGGGGAGAGATAGAGAGATTGACTGGTTGCCTTCCAAACGTGCCAGGAACTGACCCAAGGGGGGCGGGGAGCGAACCTGCAACCCAGGTACATGCCCATGACTGGGAATTGAACCCGTGAGCCCTTCAGTGTGCAGGCCCATGCTCTAACCACTGTGCACAATGGCCAGGGCCACTCAAATTATTTAATAAATTTATTTTAAAATATTTATTGAGTAATATTCCAGGTGGATGATGCTAAGCTAAGCCCAAGCCTATATACTCTTTAAAATATAAGCTCCAGGAGGTCAGAATATTTTTCTCTTTGGTTTATTGCTTTATTGTTGATGCCTAAAACAGTGCTCATTTCACAGAAAGAGCTCAATAAATATAGGGTGTCCCCCCAAAAATGTACACACACTTTAAATAATTATTAATTCCAATGGGTGAAATCTGAAAAGAAAGAAACATCAATTGAACTATTAGAAAAAAGTATACTTTTTTTGGGAAACCCTGTATTTGTTGAATGAATGGATATGTACTGCAGATGTACTCTGTGGTTTTCCAAGTGTAGTCCATAGAGTCTGAGAGTGCCTGAGAAGGTTTCAGAGAGTCTGCATGGTCAAAACTATTTGCCTTATATTATACATTACTTGATCTTTTCCACTGTGTTGACATTTTCACTGATGGTACAAAAGTAACAGTGGGTGAAACTCCTGGCGCATTAGCATGAATCAAGTCACCATGGCATCAACTTAAAGTACAGTCATTGCATTTTCACTGCTGCACCTATGCAAAAAAAAAAAATTAAAAGGCCCCTTTCTCTTAAGACTGTCCTTGATAGTACAAATTATGAACTTTATGAAATCTCTTTCCTAGAGAATATATCTTTTCAATGTTCTCTGTGATGAAATGGAAGATGTACATAAAGCACTTCCGCTGCTTACTGAAGTATATGGCTGCGCAATTGTTTGAGATGTGAGTTGAACTACCTGCTCTTTTTCATAGAACACCATTTTTATTTTAAAGAATGACTGACAGAAAAATTATGGTTATTCAGACTTGGATATTTGAAAGAAATGAGCCTGCCACTACAAGGAAAATGACTGAAAGTATTTCTATTTCAGTATTTGAGTTTTCAAGCCAAAATGATAACTTTGAAAAAATATGGTATTCACCAAAGAGAGTTAACAACTTCACAAGTGATGATTTTAGTAAATGTGATTTTTAAAATATTGAATAATTAAATGCATCAATATTTGGAAGATCAGCATAACTCAGTAAAACAGTATTTTTCAAATGGCTTCAGATACCCCACTGCAACTAACCTTTAAGAAATTACCATTTGGCCCAGCCGGGTGTGGCTAAGCAGTTGAGCATCTACCTAGGATCCAGGAGATTGGAGTTTGATTCCCAGTCAGGTTGTGGGCTTGATCCCCCGTTGGGGGGTGCAGGAGGCAGCCGGTCAATGATGACTCTCTCATCATTGATATTTCTCTCTCTCCCCCTCTCTCTGAAATCAATAAAGATATACTTTAAAAAAAAAAAAAAAAGAAATTACCATTTGTTGAGTTTTGCTAGTATCAAAGAAGAGTATCCACAATAATTGAAGAAGGCTAAAAAAATCTGTGTGAGACAGGATTTTCTTCATTTCCTAGACCAAAATAACATAGTACAAGAGAATGGGGACGCAAATATGAGAATTCAGCCGTCATCTATCAAGCCAGACATTAAAGAAATTTGCAAAATTATAATACAATGTCACTCTACTCAATAATTTTTGTTTTAAAAAGTGTAGTTATAATTCATAAAATATACTATCTTAACCTTTAAGAGACGGCATTTAAAAGACAGCATCATACAAACTCCATATATTTTCCAGGATCAACTGTACAAATAATGGTTTCTTTCCTTTTGCCTGTAAAAAAGAACGTATATGCTTAGGTTTCTGAGTATTTAACATGTAATGGTTTATTATTGTTTTAGGTTAATTAATAAGTGTTTTTTAACTTTTTTATTGAATTTATTGGGGTGACACTGGTTAGCAAAATTATATAGGTTTTAGGTGTACAATTCTGTAACACATCATCTGTATATTGTATTGTGTTCACTAGCCCAAGTAATGTTTAATCTCTCAATTTTAATTTCTAATTTAGTGAATATCCCCACATAAACAAAAGCTCCTTGGAGTCCTTTAATCGTATTTTAAGAATGTAGAGGACTCCTGAGACTAACAAGTTTGAGAAAAGCTGCTTTGAAGTATATGCAATAATCTCCACTTTACAGATGAAGAAATTTAAGATTTACAAAGATTTAGGACCAGTTTAAGGCCACAGGATCCCCTTAATGCTGGGTATAGTAGTGAGCACTTAGATCCAGAGCTTGTATTTGTGACCGTAACTTTTTCCTTGATATTATCTTTGCTAACATTATCGTTAAACTGGTAGTTAAAAGTCATCTCAACAACATAAACAAGTCTTCCTCATATTCAGCGGATTGCTTTTTCACTAACTAGCTGCACCACCCTTCTTTGGCTGGTTTCGGCGACTGAAACGTGTGTTGCTCAACCGCCTCCGTCCGGGTTTTCGCTCAGACAATCTGTGGTTTTACGAACCTGAGTTGGAGTCTTCTTGATGACTCTGCTGGGGAACTGCAACCTACCGGGTTCAACTGGGGTCTCTCGGGACTTTGTGAGGCTCCAGGCACCCGGACGCCTTCTTCCCCGACCCTCCCACACTCAGTCAAGACGCGCTTTGCAGAACAGAAGGCTCGGTGACAACCTCCTCTCCTCCCTCGGCTCCCGCGACCCTCTTTCAGACCTTTAACGACGCTCCCTGGACGCTGATTGGTTGGTCTGTCAACGATGGGCGGGACGCCGCCCTGGATTGGACGTCAGAGCCCCTTGGTCGCCGCTCACCAGCGTCCAACCAGCAGCACCCGGACTGAGTGTAGAGGCGTCCCGACTGCCGCCAGGGCTTGGGTGGGGCCGAGAGCGCCTAGGGTGAAGCGGCATCTCCACTAAGAGCCCGGGCCTGAGCCCGGGCCTGCGGGGGTGGGGCGTCCTGAGCTGCTGGGATTGGAGTGTCGGGAGCTGTCTCCCGTCGTGCACTGGGGCACCGGCCACTCACCCGGAAGGAGAAGCCGACACTGGCTATATGGTGAACCGCTGGCTGTGTTGCTGTAGCGAGTGGGTGCTGCTCTCAGGTG